CTCCCCAAAGATAAGCAGGTTTTCCCCCCAGCATTTGCAGATATTGATTTGCCAAGAAACTGATGTGCACATGGTCACATCTACACAGTGTGCTTCAGAGTCAAGAGTCGCAGGGAGTTATTAATTCAGAGATGGTTAATTATTCTTTTCAAAAAAAAAGTTAGGTTAATTGATTAGTGCATAAGTAGCAATTATCAATGTTTAAAAATTCCACACTGTGACTGAAGCATCCATTTTCAACTAATAGTCTTGTCAACATTTTCAAATCTATCATTAAAGAGAGATGTCCTGAGAAAGTCCAGGGTTGAGTACCCATGATATCTCATAAATGAAAAATTAAAAACTTTTAAAAAGAAAAAATAAAACTTCTGTAACATATGCTGAACATTTTAAGTCAATTATGCATTTTCAAGTTTGCATCATAGTTAAGTTCCAAAATCCTGTTTAAAGTTCAAATAGAAAGCACATGTATTCATGCTATTCTGTGGAAAAATATGGTATGTGTTTTTTATTTTTGACTATTCGTTCTCCAATTTTGCAAGCAAGTGTATGGTACAAATTTGAAAGGTGTTTATTCATAATGATAAAAAATTTTAGTTATTTTCATCTTTATTGAGTTTTCTCATGGACTAGTATAATTTCAGCAGAATTTAAGTGCATCTATTGGAAATCGGCAGACTGCTCTTCTACTTGGAATTCAGTTGACAAAACTTCTTGTCATTTAAAGGAATATTTCATAACATTACTACCTAGAGTAATTTGTTTCTATGAATAGCCCAAAGAAGGAAAAGGAAAAAGAGAAAGAAGAGGGGAATAAAAAAAAAGCTGAGGAAAATTATTTCCCTATGTCTAGAATAAAGATATTTCATCAAATGTGGCAAACATCATGCAATTTCATTTAAATTTTGGTATATTTGCATCCTTATAACAATTTTTGCCTCACAACTACTATACCAAATATGGAAAATCTAATTTCTTTTGGTATTAGTTTGCTTTGGTGCTAAATAGTCTCTAAAGTAAATTGATCCCAGCCATACGTGGATACTTATCTTCTTCTCCCACCAAAGCACTAACTTTTCTTATTTATCATTAAATCAGGGGTGGGAACACAGTAGGCACTCAATAAATGCACACTGAAAAAAAATGAGGCCTATTTCAAATGGTTTTAGTTAGTAAAACTGCTCAACAAGGTCAGTCCTGGCCTGCTATCACATGAACCACTTTATCTCCAAGTCACCCAGATAACTGAGAAGAGCCACCATGACCTCTTGCTTCAATCATCAATCCAGTCCAAAAAAAAATAGGTGCTTTTCATTTCAAGCTGTACTATAGATATCTAGATTCTGAACAGCATTGCATTAAAGAATGTAATTGAAACTGAAGATATATTTATTTTAAGTACTTTGAGGACTCTTAATCTCATAAAAATCCAGTGATCTTCTCAAAAAATGTCCAACTGATAATTTAGCCCAGCACTAGCATGAGAATTCAGTTCATGAAACACCATGATTTTGAAGAGTCATCCCTGAGATACTGTTTTCTAATTTAATGCTTAAATTAGAAAATAAGTATAACATCTAGCAAATAATTAAATCTTAAAATGTCACCGAGTTTTAAAATAGCGGAAATAACTTTCAGTAAAAACACAGAGCAAAATTCCAAAGGCCAGACACTCTTACTGTGGAATTAGAGCATACATTCAAACCTGCAAATACATTTGTAGTTACTTCTTACCTTAAACACATTGATAGGGAGATCAATGACCACATAGATAAGGTCTCCAAGGGCAAGGCTAGCTATCAGTGCGTTGGGGCCATTCCTCATACACTTGTTCTGGTAAATGATCCTGAGCAGAGTTGCATTCCCCACCATTCCCACGATGAAAATAGTACAAGATATCACAGTGTTAATGTATTTGAAAGCTGAAGTAATTTTAGTCTGCTGTGGGCAATAGTTGTGCATTGAACCGTTGCTGGGGAGGGCCAAATTTGTGGGTCGATGGGTAGTCACCAGGGAGTTGACCTCTGTCCCCCCGAAAGTGGTAAAGTCATCCACAGGATTGCTTAGATTTGTGCTGTATCTCTCAGGATTGTCACTGATTACACATCTGGCCAGTGCCAGCCAAAAGGATGCTCTGAGGCAAAACATTTCCATCTTGATGCAAATTTGAAGAATAGTCTTAGTGTATCGCTTTTACAACTCTATTTTTTTTCACCTGAAAAAAGAATGGAGAAAAATTATTCTTATGACAAAATCCAGCTGTCAAAATGATGGTAATTAATGATTATTTACTGCTTTAATTAAAATGCAGAATATTTGGTAATTAGATAAGATAAATCTATGTCAGGTTGCCTCAGAGCAGAACAAAACTAGAAAAGACCAAAAACCTCACAGGGCAAGATTTCTCCCTCTCCCACCCCCAACTGCATCTCATTTCTTCACATAGCTAAGCTATACTTATAACTAACTCATGATATGAGTGAGGATATGACTATTTCCCTTCAAGTGGTAGTTATATTTTTCCCCACCCAGATTAATGAAAATATGACTTACAAAAACCTTCTAGAATCGAGATACACAATTTTGTGTAAAACTGAAAGTGAAAACGCCTTATACATCTATTATAGATGTAGCATAAAATAAAACTATCAAATTCTGTAATTAAAAATCTAGTATTCCAAAATGTGTCCCATTTTGCACATGGTAAATAATGAACACAGAACAGAATGTGGTAGCCTTCTAAGATATTAAAAAATGTTGGATTTAAAACCAGAACTCTGGTTACCACCACCAATATGTTTAACAATCTTAGTTTCAATTTAAAAAATTATGTAATTGAGAATGACAGAATATTTATTTTGAAAACCTAGACTGATGTGTAAAATCTTCATCTCCTAACAGGAGGTTTTTGTTATTTCATACATTAGAAATTATCATCACGATATTTGTCAATGAGAGCAATAGGAGTTTTGCAGGCTGGTCAGGCTGTTGGATTTTCTAAGGGATATCTGTCCCTATGCTCTTTAAGACCTCCTATGTGTATTATGTGTCAGTCACTGTGCCGAATACATCGTATGTGCAATGTCACTGAATCCCTACTATGGTCCTGTGAAGCAGATGTACATTCCATCAGGCAGACGGGGAAATGGAGGCTTGGAAGACAAGCCTCTGGTCATAGGTAGTGGTGCCAAGGCAACATTTCTAAGGTAGATTAACCACTAGACCATCCTGTCTCTCATTCTCATGCTTCATTTGTATCTAGAGTGTTTAAAGGAAGTCTCCTGTGTGTAGATGAAGCAACAGACTAGGGGTGCTTAGACATTTCAAAAGACCTCTTGCCCCCTTGCAAAGAGCAACTGATTCCTCTTTACCCAGCTAGTTGCGCTTTCTCTGTTAATCCTTGGGAAAACAACGGAAGTTGGTGGTGCCAGAATTATCAATCAAAAGTAATAAAAATGGCCCCTCTCTTTTCAATATTTTGTAAATTTCCTGTTCTTTGGGCTTTTATTAATCTTTAAATGAAAGCCATAACCTCGTTTATCTCATGGTGTGTGTGTGCATCTATGACATACACACTCAGGTTCTAATGTAATTTTTAAAACTTGTTCCTTTTCGAGAGATTGTTCAAGATTGCTCATGGCCACTTTTAGGAATTTCGACAGTTATCACAAGAAATCACAAAGCTTATGTTTAGACACCTAGTCACCGTAGCTATAAAATAAGATAGAGTCAAGTAGTAGAGAAGGGTTAACACTAAATTGCAAGCATTGAATACTTTGCTTTCCCCCAGGAATCTAAAATAGATACATGTACTAACTATATGTGTACCTATTATCGGACTTGAGCTTTACAACTGTGATAGGTAGAAGCAATGTCTCATTTTACTTGAGAGACACTCTTAAAGAAGTGAAGTGACTATGTCAACCAAGAAGTGGCAAATGGCTATAATATCTCCCAATTTGTTTATAGACTTAACTTACTTTGAGTAGATGATAAAAAATACCATTTTTTTCAAAACTAGGGATATTCTGTGTACCTGCCAGTTTTTTACCAGGGTGTAGTGTGTTTAATTAGTTTGCATTTTTTTTCCTGCTTCTTATAGTTTGGAGTATCTGACCAAATATCAGTAATCTACAAATGCCACCACTTCCATCCTGAAGTGGAAAGCAGGATCCTAAGAACAAAGCTTATAGCCCTCCTCCTCTTTGGATCATGGAGAGTAGTGTAAAGAAGTTCTTTAACATCTTGTGCTGCCTAGTGACTAGTCTCTCAGTTTTCCAATTGGAATGGAATATTCAGTAATAGTTTTCATAGAAATGAAAGACAAAGGCCTTTTCCAGAAATGGAATGGCTCCTCCCCAGTAGAGTCAGCAAGGAAGATGTTTCATGAGCTGACCTGGCTATCACAGGCATCTTGCCACTCATCAAAGTCCCTCTAGTGCTTTGAACATTAACGCACCAGTTTGATTGGTCAGCTGATTATGGCACGAGTTAACAAGGTCAAGGCTGGGGGTTCTTATCATTAAAACCATCTTCCTTCCTTCCAACAATGACACTACCCTAGAAATAATTTCTGATGACATTTCTGTCAACTCTCCACACACATTAAGCTGCAGAGTTAAGGAACATTTGTCAAAGGCATGTGGATACCATATTGTCATTCAGTAAAAAATGCCAAACCAAATGAAAGAATCCTTTCAAATGCATGCTATTCCAAGGATGGGTCTGGAGCTTACTTTCATGTATCTGAGAGAAGCTGGGCTTTGAATCATCAGCCATAATCATCAGTCACAGCTCTATTAAGTATCTTAGTTTCAAACCTAAAGGACATGGTCAATAGATTCAGCATTCTTCCTATTTTGGGTTGAAGAGTTTTCTGGAGTGCACAGGATATTATTAAGGAAAAAGACTGAATTCTCATGATTACACTTTAACCATTTAACCTATCGGACTCTCAGGATCAAAGTTCACCTGTATAAGTAGTAATTTGGAAATTCCAACCTTACCAAAATGGCACAAGTTTAGAGCAGGCAATTTACATGACAGGATTGCCAAGGTGTTTCTCAATTTGCTGACACTTAAAACAGAAGAGGTGGTGGTGAGGAATCATGAACAAGGACAAGTAGGGACAAAAATTAACTGGGAACTTTTGAGAAATTTTCTGTGGTTTTGCTCTCTGGGTAAGAAATTAGCCACATTGCCTGGCTTTAATGTTTCCAGCTCTATCAGGGGAAAGTCATTAGGATGGTGTAAACAGAGGCTGATTATCTAAAAACAGTCCTTGTTTTCTGCATGTGAAAGGCAACAAGTGGCCTTTAAAGGACAACACAGAACAAAACTCTCAGACCTGGGACAGGCAGGTTTCCAAAGCTGCACTGGGGGTTTTCTCAAAAGACAACAGTGTCTTGCACGGGTGCCCTTGGCTACTCTCAGGCTGTGTGGGGAGAACCAGAAGTGAGGTAACAAGTATGCTTTGGAGCAAGCGACCAGGGCATGTGTGCAAAGTTGCGGCACGCTGGCGGAAAGGGGGACACCCAGGGAGAACCATTTGGTTTCCTTTTACCAAGAATCCAAATCTCTTCTGGAGAGGCAAAGTGCTTTAGATCAGTTCTCCAAACTCCAAACGTTCACTCAGCGCACCCCTCCCAGGAGGGAGCCCGTTTCACCAGGCGTCTCAGGCAGGTGGGTGCCAGCCTCAAGCTGCCAGGTGGACAGGCCAGTACGCTCCCCGCTCCTCCCCACTGAGCGACCCAACCGTCTCCACGTCCCCGCCCCAGCCTCGATCCCCAGAAGGAAAGCCTAGCACCGACCGTGGAGCTCGGCGGGCGCCGCTGCAGGGTTCGCGCAGCGCCTGGGCCAGAGGAAGCCGGAGCCCGCGAGGGTGGATGGCGCGGAGGGTGGCCGGTGTCCCGGGCTGCGGCGCGCCGGCGGCCCCAGCTGCAGGGCTGTCTTGGCTGCGGAAAACTTATCCGGTGGGGCAGGGCTTCTCTGGGGAGTTCTCGCCGAGCCTCCAGCCTCTGGCGATGAGCCGGTGGGAAGGATGAAGCCTCCCTGCCTCCTCTCCACGATCACCAGAACAGACCAGAGGGATGACTGTAAGCGCGCGCAAGGACTCGCAGGAAAAAGAAAACTCCGAAGGAAGGAACACGCCTCCAGCCTGTCCTCCCCTTCTCGCAAAGCTCCCAGCCCTTCTCCACTGCGGGACCGCAAGAGCGTCCTCCAGCCCTCACTAAACTGCACGGAGCTGCCGCCCCCTTCCCGGCCCCGAAGGGCAGGAGACTTTTAACTATTTCCTTCCTGAAGTGAAGCTGGGGGTGGGTGGAGGAGCCCGGGGAGGGTTTAACAGACAAGCCCGGAATAATGAAAGGCCTGGCGAGAAACTCGGCCCCTTGGTCAGTGAGTGCAGGCGCTTTGATCTGGGATGGAGCAACTCCACTTTGCTTGTGGGCTCCTTCTTTAGTGCAGAGGAAGTTAAGAAGCTCAACTGGAAGGCAGGTTACTAGATCCAGTAAAGACTGCTTGTATTTTGTCCCTTGAAGCCAGCACCCTAAGACTGCATACCTCTAGCCCAGGAGAGTCAGTGACTGGGTGAAATTCTCACTCCAAAGGATGAGGATGCAGATCCTATAGAGGGTGGGGCTCAGTGTCTTTACCCCAGATTGGGGGTGGAAAGGGTGGAAGAGAAGATGAGCGGCAAAGGCCATTGTGGGCTCTTCAGGGAAGCCTGACTTGGGGTCCCTCGGTGGACAGCTGGTTTCCGCGGAGTGTGGAACTATGAGGCTGGGGCACTCTGGACGCACCTCACAGACTGCTCTGGTTATTGCAGTTGAACAAGTCACCAGTCACCCACCGTTAAACACAGTGGCTTAAAACAATGTCAGTCACTTACTTTGCTCTCATCTGCTCTCGGCAGGGCTTGTCTGGAACTCATCAGTTTTGCTCCATGTCACTAGGACTGGGGGATGCACTTCACTTGCTCTGTGTTGAGGGTTAGTTTTTCTCCAAGTGTGGTGACGAGTTTCCAAGTGTCCAAAGAGACAGGAAGTGGAAACTGACAATCTCTTGAGATCTGGGCCCAGAAACTGGTAGAATGGCACTTTTGATCAATTTTATGAGTCAAGCAGTCATTGATCCCAGACTCAAAGTGAGGTCTTAAAGAACCTGCCTGCCAATTCAAGGAATGTTGAAAAATTTAGGGATCATTTTGTAAAACCATCAAAGAGACCCACAGAAAACCACCATTGAAAGGGTTTCTTCTAGTCATCTAGTTCTGTTGGATTACATATCACCCTGTGCACTAATCTAGAGTATCTATAGCTTCTGTGTGAGGGTGGGTTAACCAGCCAGAATAACAAATAGCTTTTTAAAATGCCTTAGTTTATATTAAAAGAAGGGTTGACGTTTTGGGCACATGGCTTGGCAAGCTGACAATCTTTTCCAGGAAGAAAAAGTGACTGCCTTCTCCCAGAAGAGGCCGTGCCCAGCTTGGGATGTGACATATGCTGGATTTCAGCCTTTCCTTGCTCGGTGACCAGACGCACTTGGACAGTGTACACCTATGTAAGTGAACTTGTTGGTCTAGCTAGTCTTTGTCAGAGTACATCCCTAGCCTCTATCTCTTTGATCCCCAGGGTGGTAAAAGATGAGTTATTAAAAATTCTTCCTTCACATCCATTGGGAGTGTTATTGTCTGAACAAAACAAAACCAGAAAATAACTTGTATTAGCAAGGATGCTGAGAAACTGGAACTCTTGTCTATGGCTGGCAGGAATGTAGGCGATGCAGCAGCCGGGGAAGATAATATGGTAGTCCTCAAAAAATTAAACATAAAATCACTCTGGTTATATAATAATTAAAAGAATAATTGAAAGCAGGGATATGAACCGATATTTGTACACTCATGTTCATGATGGCATTATTCTCTGTAACCAAAAGGTGGAAACACCTCAAATGTCTATTGAAGAATAAATGGATAAACAAAATGTGGTACACACAGCCAGTGAAAGATTATACAGCCTTAAAAAAGAATAATACTCTGATAGATATTACAACAGGAGATTCAAAGACATATGCTAAGTGAAATGAGCCAGACTCAAGGACATATATTATATTGCTAAAGGATAAAAACACAACAATTTATTTAATTGGCTTTATTTTTGATTCTAGAATCAGGCAACATTTTATTCCACAAAACAGAATATGTCTTCTCATGGGCTGAGCGGAAGAGCTTGGTTGTGTAGACAGAGAAAGGTTGAAGAAAGCTGAAATGAAAGAACAAAAAGTGGGTTGGCCATTTCAAAGTTATTTTCTTTATAAGTTGAAGACAGGAGACAAAACAATGTGAAAATAACAGATGGAGTCAAGTTACTTCAGGTTATCTATTTTTTGTATGTCGGAGAGAGTTAAAGCAGGGAGGACTTCATTATCATGACAGTGACATTTTTCTATAAGCAGTTAAGTTTTGGCTTGGTGATCTGAAATTTTAGCACAGTGACTCCATTTTGCTTTTGGCCTGGTCTGTTCAAGAGCTTAATTCAAAACAATAGCCTTCTGTAATTTTTATTTAATACTATGATTATGCTTATGTGAAAGAACTAGTTTGTCAAATTCGTAAAGACAAAAGGTTGGTAGTGATTACCAGGGGCTTGGAGAATGGGGACTTAATCGCTTAATGTGTTTAAGAGTTTCAGTTTGGGATAATGAAAAAATTCTGGAATGTGATGGCGGTAAGGGCTATACAACAACGGGAATGAATATCCTTAACACCAATAAACTGTATACTTAAAAATGACTCAAATGACAAATTTATATTATTCATGTACTCCCATAATAAAAAAAATTCTTCCTAGCATCAGGAACATTTGCCTCCTTGTTACCTGTTAATCTGTCTTCTAAGCTCATAAAATGAGTTTACTGCCTCTTTTAAGAAAAATTTTTAAATAGAAAAGATGTGTTTATGTGACTGACTAGCATTGGCCTGCCTGCCTTTGTAGAGATTGGGGTTGGTTTATTCTAGATGAGAACAGCATGAATATTCCTTAGTTGTTGGAAATTTATCTCATCTTTTTTGCTTCACTTTTGGGAAAATGACTTCAGTGGACCCAAACCAATTTTTGGCTAAGTTGACTTCACCTCCAATAACCCCTTTCCCCATAGCTAAGACTTAATATGCTTGCCCAACTTCTATATTCCCTGCTAAGTATTTCCAAAGACTAAGTTTTTCAACTTGACTTCCAAAGGTTACTTCTTTTCCCTGGAAGGTGGGTTGGAATTTGCAGTTTTTCTGGTTTCAGGGAAACTTTCTTGATCCCACTTGACTCTGGCTCAACAGCTCATTAAGCGGAGCATTAGTGTAATGGTATTTACCATGACTTCTCTCAGCATCCTGTCATATTGATTTCATGAACAATAATTGCTGTAGATTAAGAAGTACTCAAGATAGCACTTAAAAACCAATTTTTCACATGTCCTTGGGGCAAATGTTCTTCTAAATTTAAGTTTCTTGATTCAAATTTGCAAATCCATTTCATAATTGCTAACTCCAAATATCCTCCAATTTGAAATACAATGAAAGTCCTGAGTCTTGTGCCATTTGCTGAGAATATTGCAGGCAGTTTTGAGCTCCCTGGGGGAAAGAAAACAGGAAGGATTCAGAGAAGAACTGCAAACATGAAGGAAGGCTGGTAAGTGGGTTGTGAGAGGCAAGGTGGAGAACTAGAGAAATGGACATCAGAGACATGAGACCTGAAACTGCCATCGCAGCCTTCTCTCTGGCCAGTGAAGTGACCAAGACTATTGGCAGCAAACATAACTGCTGTAAAGATGAAAAGACAAGCCCTGTGAGTTGAAGGTGAGTTTTTAATTGAAACTCCCTATAGGTGATTTGTTTTTAAGAGGAAATACTCATAATCATTGAGCAACTTGAGGGTTAGGGACTCTGACCCCGCTCCCTGACCCACAATAGAAAATTCAGGTCTGACCTTCTAAAAAAGTTATTTAAGTCCTTTATTAACAGGTGCTTATGGTTTGTTGACTGTTCTTTGAAAAAGTCAAGTTCTAAATTTTATTAAAAATTAAAAATGAAGTTCTTAAAAATCTCAACTTGAGCAGACATGAAACAATTAAAAAAAATTAAAGGCATATTGAGAAAAACTAAGCTTAGAAAAACCTCACATTTTTTATTACCAGAAAGGAATGTCTTTAGATAACAATAATAAAAAGCACATGGTGCCTGGACAATGCACAGGATTCTAAGAATCTGATCAATGGGCAGAAAAAGCATTTTAAAGTCTGCTCCAGAGTATTGCAGGGATTTCATATTCATTTCCTCTTGTTGCATGACTGGATGATGGTGGAGATGGTGAGCTGATGTTTAAGCGGCTCCATCCTGCTCATCCTCAGAGTGAAGGAGATCTCAGATGGTGCACCAGTTGCTTCTCCTCTTTCCCTTCTCTGGCATCTGTAGCATAATCAGAGTTAAGCAGTATGGATTTTCCTCATTGCTGTCCTCTCTGGGCTGTTGGTAGTGAGGATGGCCCTCCTGTGGAAAACAGCTATAACCCTGAAAACATTCCATCTCCCTGGTCTATGTGGTGGTCCTGCATTCTGGTTGTTGACATTCTCCATCACTTTTCCCTGCATAGGAGGGGTCTAATACTGAGGTCGGCGCCCATGGGGTCTTTGGAAGGAGTAAGGTGGGAACCCGTGCCTCTGGTAGGGCTGGTGTTGTTGGACTGGCCATCTCTCCTTCTTTCCTTACTCTCGCTATTCTGGCAACTCTGCTGGTAATTGCGCTGAGGATCACCAGGGTAGTGTCTGTAATGGTTGTAGTCTGCTTCACGTTTAATGCCTTGGGCTGGATCTCCACCAGGTTCTCTAACATCTGTTGCCTCCATAGCCTTTTCTTCTTCAGCAACATCAAACTCTACAATCTCCCCCTTTATTTCTACTGTACAGGTCCTTCCTGGGGTTATTCTATTTGTGGCTGTTTCATGTCATTCCTGTGGATGGTTGAACCATGTATGCTTCTTACATTGAGCCATTTTATTGTTCTCAATACCTTCCTTGCAATGACCTTCTTGTCCCAACCAGCCAATGCCACCAGACCAGCAAGAGGCCACTTGGGCCACTGCTCTCTGTATTGCTGTCCGTGGTGCAGGTGTGTAGGTCACTAGGCAGCAGTGGGCAGCTCTGGGCTTTCTGAGTTCCATGCTCTGCACTTTCTTCCCATCCAACTCCATTTAACTTCTGATTCCCCACAACTTATCTATGAATACCTGCTCTGGACCATAATAATATCTTACCGATAATAGAAACAGCACATATTTTATATGATGTGTGTATTATATGTGGTGAGAAATGTGTGAGCACACTTGTTATACTACACAAAGTTTCCTGGGGAGAGAAACTGCTCTTGGAAGATGGTCCATGTCTCATGCGTTTTAAGTAGACACTAGCAACACTCGAGGTTGTTACGACAACAACTGGAGGTAGCTCAGAATTATTGAAGTAGTACAGAATTGCTACAGTTAATTGTATGCAATTATGATTTAGTGCTGCATCTTTATATTTGTTTGCATTTCTCACACCTGCAAATGGTCTGTGTTTTTATAAATATTAACCTTTTATGTTTGTGTATATTGTATAGTAGTAAATGATATAACACACTATAATCTATACGTATTTATTTATTTATAACATATAAAACTCATTCAGGTAACTTTTCATAATTTTTTTCAATATTTCTAGGCTGCACAGTTTGTCTTTAAACCCCTGTTTTTCCAGGATTAACTCTATTCTAAAATGTTAGTCTTTAGATGAACTCCTGAAGGTTCTAAAGTGGCTTCTCACTGCAACAGTGTTGTATGGCATCAAGTTGTCCCATCAAAATATATTTAATGAATCATGTAGCCCAATGTTTTGTGAATTGTTGGTAGTTCCATTGGAGGGCAGAGACTCAATCAAGTCTTAGCATCACCAATGATGGGGTAAACAGATATTAAGCATCTTCTGATGATATGTTCCATGTATCTAGAGATGTTTCCAGAAAGGTTTAACTTGAATATAGTCAAGCCTTCAGCTATATACATTCCAGTTTCCAGCCCAGAGAAAGAACAGAAGGGCAAGTTAAACAAATAACAGGAGAAGCAAAGAGGCAAAGCCCAGAGGTGTGACATGTAACTGGACAATTAGTCCTTCTCTTCTGTCAGTAAACAGAAAGGGGATTTGTTTTTCTAGATTAAAAAAGATTTAAAGGAAACAACACCAGAACAGGAATAGGACAATTGTGTTGTCCTGGACTGGGTCCTGATTTGGATAAATCACCTACACAGTTCGTTATTTTTGTTGTTGGCAGTCCCCCCCCCCCCCTCATGACTGGGGACTTTTTGGATTTGGACTAGGTATTAGATGCTATTAAGAAATCATTATTATTTTCGGTTATACAGAAGGATGTCTTATATTTTAGGGATTCTCTCTGGGGGGAGGTATAATTTACCTTTCATTACCAAACCACAAGCAAAACTGTGAGTTTTTAAAAAATGGCAAAATGTATAAAGAAA